TTATACATTTTAATTAAAAAAATATAATTTTTTTTTTTTTTTAAACGCCACAAAATAGGAATTCCTAGAATATAATAACACAATTGTTCATTTCATGTGTTACAAACCTATAGTAATAAAATGATCTTACGAAAATCTCACTAAATTCTTTAGTTGGTTTTGTATTTTATATATTTAAAATATACACAACTAAAATATTTTAATGTAAGTAATACGTAATATATTCTTCCGAATAAAAGATTTGATTCCATTTTCTAAGGAATATCTAGTTTCTTTCTGTATATCCCCCAAGCCTGGACCCTCCGCCGCCGTCGTTTTTTCAGCTGTCTGTTAGCGTTGGCGTTGTCAATTTTTTATTGCCCTTTGGCAGATGTGTTTGACTGCTCAGGAATGGAGGGCAGGATGCTGTGTATATTGCGCTTTCGAGGTTAGCGGGTCACGTGCCGCTCTCGACCTGCTCCTTCGACATTTGCTGCGACAAAATCAGCGCTGTGGCATCTTCGCCAGCAATTGAATTCAAATGAAGCCGGGCCAAAAAGGCGGCGACGCCTCCCAGAAGAATAAATGCGATGCCATAAATCAAGCATAAAAATTGACACTAATTTTGCCCACGAGAGTGCGAAAGAGAGGGGGAATAGCCGGAGAAAGGGAGACGGAGCACTGCTTACGTGTGGGGCTTTTCCGAATTCAATTCGCTGGCGAAATCGAGGGAACCAAAAGCTCTGCGCATCGATCACGCTTGGAATATTCAAGTGACAATCAACCGAGAGGAGCTCATCTGCTCATCACCCTTAAATATTTTCCCATTTCCCCCCACCTAATCGAATCTCAGGCTGGGAAAACGAAAAAGTTTTCTATTTAATGCGATTTGTTTGTGCATTAGTTTGTGGTTTATATTGTGAATTACCCTGCGATTTGATGGAAAATTTGCATTTGGCAATAGGCAATTAAAGTTTACCCCCATATGTGTTTATAACAATGTGTGGTTTTGGAAAAATAACTAACTAATCAAACCGCAGACACAACGACCAAAAGTGCTGACCACAGTACCGAATTTCGATTGTGCAGTGAAACGAAATAAAAACGTTTATGGTCTAATAATCAGCATTTTAAGCCTAAATTTAGAATATTAGAAGGGGTGCGGATTTTAAAAGGGGTTTTTTCCCGGGGAGATTCTAGGTACATTAAGTTATCGACTGCTGACAAAAATAACCGAAAAACAGGCCGAAATTGATGGCCTAATGCTTGTGTGTCTCCGTTCTGTCTTCTGTCACTCTCGCATTTTTATGGCTACTTTTCAGCGAATTGCTTTATATTTGCCTAGCACCGAAATGTTTACGTGTTTGAGTGCACTCGGTCGGAGTTTATGGCCATCTGGGGACTCGATCTGGTTTATACTTCTCTCTGCTGCCCCCGCACACACACTTCATTGTTTCGTTTCGTCTGGCAAATGAATGCTATTTCTGTACAAAATCGGAAAATAGCCACTGTCCACTGAAAGAAACTCCTTTCCTTTGACCAAAGGTCAAAAGGTAGATAAACCCAGTTGAAGTGCCATAAAGAATGTTATCCTTTTCCCTTTGAACGGATAAAGATCTTTTTGTGCCCTTCTCTGTGTTAATAAAGGTAAATGAAATGACGACTGTAATTCTGCTGAAAGCAAAGTCTGGCAAACATAGGAGTGTACATATGTACATATGTTTTCATTTGTACAGTGAAAGTTCGATAAGTTAAATTATGCATTAAATACTTAAAATCCTTTAATTTTTTGTTTTCCGTATTTATATTTTAAAATACTTAAAGTGAAGAAATTTGAAATTTTCGTTAAAAATTACTCATACGACTTGTATGACAAGATAAATAATTAAAATCTTTTAATTATTTGCTTTCCGTATTTATAGCTTAAAATTTTCAAAGTGCTGAAATCTAAAATTATGCTTAAAAATGACTCATCCGACATGTATCACAATTACAATTTAGTTAAATAAAATCGTTCTTCCAAATCGAACCTTGTTTAATTATGAAAATCAAAAAAAATGTAGAATTAAATAACTTTTTAAAAGAAGGCAACAGAGAGTATGAGTGATAATAAAAGCCAATACGATGATCTTTCACAAACGATTTTGGGCAGACTTCCAGCTCATAAAATATATATAAAAAAGTCTATAACAAATACTCTTGAAAACTCGATGAAATTTAAATTTAAATTTAAATAAACGTTCCTTGAAACCGAAATAGTTTTCACACTGTTGTCTTCAGTTCAAACTCTCTTTAACTCGAATTTTCCATGTGACAGATTGGTCATTGAGTTAGAGAAGTTAAACTGTACTGGTACACGAACTCGTATGTACCGACATTGTACAATGTACATATGTATATCCCGACGTGGACAGATAGCAGATGGGTGGAATAGGCCAAAGTTCTCACGTGGCCCTGGGAAAGTGGGAGTGGGTATCGGGGAAATCCTCGACAGTCGCGTCGCCACATGGAATCAACAGTTTACCTGGCTGGGTGCTCCTGCCGTTGGCCCACAGGTCTGGTCTGGCTAAATGGCTTAAAACCCGACCGAAACTGACAACAAATACAGCTGATGATGATGATGATGGTGAAATAAAGGGGGCGGCGGCGGGGGGTGGAGTGCCATTTTCCAGACAGAGGCGCATGCACAACGGCAATTACTCATGGAAATAGTTTCGGAATGGAGCAGGGGATTGGGAAGACAGGGGGCTCATGAGTTACGGTTAGAATTTCCGTTGCTCTGGATACGCCCGCACACAGTTTCCCACCCCACAAGCCCCCTTTTTGGGGCCTCCTGTTTATTTGTTTATTCTGTACTCCGTTTGCTCAAAATCAAAATTCCTGTTGCTGCAGCGGTTGTTCTGCTGTTGATTTTCCACAGGCCAAAGGGGCAAAGTTGGAGAGGGAGAAAAGCGAGGAAAATCGAGGGAAATTCTGGCTATCAATGCCAGCTACATCATTTGCATCCATCTCGCTTTCCTCGTCTCTCGTCACTTTTGGACATGCCAGCAATGCGAAACAATGCTGAAAATGTAAACGGAATTCAAATATGGCTGATGCCGATTGTGATGCTTATGCTGCTGTTTTATGCCATATATCCTTGCTGCTCTTGGCATCTCCGAGGCCACAGGACAATCAGCATGCATGATTTAACATTTCCCCAAAACAAACATCCAAATGCCATAACACACTTTTCTGTCTGTTCCATCGCTCAATTTCGCAGAAATTCGTAAGAGAATTGTGTACCCAGAAATGATTTGGACTGCATTATTATTATGTTAAGATCAGTTAAGGTTTTTATTTCAATCATTTTCGCATTAAATATTAAAAAAAAATTTAACGTGTTTGTATTTATAATAGTTAATTTTATGCTTAAAATCTCGATACTTTAAAATTTTTTATCATATTTTACATTATTATGTTTTCGTAATTTTAAATAAATATTTTTCCGAACAGAAATGGTTAAATAAATTCCATTTAAGGGCAGTATTTCCGTTGAAATAGTTCAAGCTTTAGAGAAGTTTTGGAAGCAAATATGCTTACTTATATACTCTCGCAATTTAATTTCTATTTGACAACAAAAATTAAATTTCACCAACAACACGGAGTATTTAAATTCATAATTCGGAAATTGCATCAATTGAGCAAAGACTTTATTCAATAAACTTGAATAGAAAACTTCTATTCAATTAAAAAAAGGTGAATGTGAAAAAGGGAATGGGTTATTCCTCGCAAGAAAGCATATGCAGCTCTATGCTGGGAAAATGTGAATGCAGAAAAGGCAGCCGCTGCACATAACTAACCGGAGACTTGAATTCGGTTTTGGGGCATATTTTGCGCCAATTTCCATACAAATCTCTCGCATACAGAGCGCACACACTCACTCACACTGCCAACTGTCGATCGTAAATGGAAAACAGTTTGCATAGTTTCTCCCCAAAAAACTAAACCCACGAAACTCCGTATGAATGGAACCAAACAAAACAAAACAAAGCAAGGCCCACAGGAAAAACAAAGGCCCACACATGCGATAAAGAAAAACAAAAGCCCCGAAAGGTGGCAGCAACGACAACAACTGGCGGGAGCAACAATAAAAACAAATGCCAACTGAGGCTGAGAGCTAGGAGAAAATTAAAAAGTAAACACAAAAATTCACGTGCTTCGCATGCAATAACAGTAGTGGTGCCAAAGAGAGATGGAGCGAGAGGGTGCGAGGGAGAGAACGAGTCGCTGGTGCGACTGCTTAGTGAGCGGAGATAGTGGGAGCACGCGAAAGGAGCCCAGGGCGCATGTCCCAGGAAGCGAGAGCGAAGGCAACGCTATTTGGCTATATGGGAATTTCTCTCAAACGACATTTTGTTTACCGTAATGATGACGTATGCCGTTATTGTAGGAGAACTCAAGGCATAGCAGTATGTTCAAAAATTTTAAACGTTTTTTAGAAGGATAAAAGCGAACCTATAAATGTGTTCAAATAAAAATGTATTTTAAAATGATTTCTTTTGCACATCATACTTATTAATTATACCAATAGAACTGACCTTAATTTAATTTAAAAGTCAATTTGAAATAATGAAATCTTTTATTAAGGTGTCTAAAACAATGCTACTATATATTTTGAAAACGGATAATGTAAAGCTAACTCCTTTTATTTGTTTTAATCTCGATGGATTTCTGTCGCAGAAGGGGACTCTATAGATCCTGATAACCCAAGTATTCTCCCCTTTTTACACCTGCCTGCTGGAGTTTGCTTTGCATAGAAATGAGAGTTAAAACCTCCTGTCTCCCTCTTGCACTAACACGCTTATCGTGCAACGTGCGTATTATTTATGCGTAGACATTGTGGCGCCGAAAGGAAAAGAGAGAGAGCGCCACTATTTCGAGGAGCAAATAGTGATAGAGAGAAGGCTTTTGCTACGGAGAGAGCGTTTCGCATAAAACCGCCAGAGTGGCGCTCGGATCCTTTAAAAGTGTGTGGAGCGTCGTCGAGAGCGGACGTGCGCTTCTGCTCCTGCGAAATCCTCGCTCACGGGCAGCTATATTCTACCAACACTTGGCCAACACACTCACACGAACACACAATCAGACACGCACACCTGTACACCTAGCGCGCGCGCAAATCGCCGAAATTAAAGCAAAGCGAAATGGAAAATGCTTAAATTCCCACGTGAAACGGTGCACAAAATAATCGACTAACGAAAACAAATCGAATCAGTGAAATTAAAGTGGAGTTATGGTTATTTGGAAAAAATCAATGCCGTTAATCGACGCACACGGATACACATAAACGCACACGTGTGCTTCAAAAGCCAAAACACACCAATACACCGAAAAAAAACACACACACACACGTAAACAGAAGGCCTAACAAAGTGAAAGTAACGGAATTAGCAGCACAATTGTGAGTGAAAGTAGAGTGCATAAAAAAGAAGAAGAGGGGATAAAGGAAAGGCGAAGATTTTAAAAGTAGCGTTGTTAAATGCAAAGCTTACTTACTGGATTCTTAAGTCCCCCAGATTACCCTTCCTTATCATTCCCTTCTTCTTTTTTAAACGAATGTGTGTATTTAACTCGGTCATAGTTGAGACAACAACAAAAACAATAGGCCAAAAGAGGGCTATAAAACAAAAATAGAAAAAAAAAACATGCAACAAAAACAAGCGGCAACAGCAGCCGCCAACGTAGAAGCTACCTGAGCAAGATAAACACGCAAAACAAAGCGAACTGGGTCAGTGAGCGAAGAGGAGGTGAGGGATAGAGGAGGAGGAGGAGGGCGCTAAAGCAGAAGTAGCAGCCAGAAGGGACAGGAAAAGCGGCCAGAATGTTGCATGTGTTGCAGCCAAAAGTGTAGCATACTTAATGGAACAAAGGGTAAGTCACTCAACACACGAATATCCTTGGATTCCGATATGCCACGCATATTTAACCTTGAAACCCGCTTTAACCCATAACGTGAGGGGTGGGGGGTGGTTTCACCAAAAACGGGGTGATGCAGGGCGAGGGTGTTTTCAACCCGCTCAAGGATATGCGCTGCGAGTCGAAAAGTAAATGTCGGAATGCCGAAAGGAGCAATAACAAAAGGACAGCAGCAGTAGAAGCAACAGCAACAAGAAGCGGGAAATGGAATAACAGTAAAATAAAATATCCTTGTGAATCTTGCGCTTGCAGGCGTCATCCCTCCCGGCTCCCACAGCCTTTCCGCCCCCTAAAACTCCCTAATGTTCATCCACACCCAAGCAAAAGCATTTTCGTTTTAGCCGTACAGAGAAAAATATATTTTATTAATTCAAATAAAAGAATTTTAAACCCATGGCTCCGCGTCTGGAGCATTTTTGAAAGTTATTTCCTGAAGAATTCGCGGTGGAATTATTTTACTTCGAGTTCTCTATCGGAGTTTTAATATTATTTTAAAAAATTTATTAAAAATAAAAAAATCCATAAATGTAGGTATGTATTTCGTTTCCAATTAGTCATGAGAGGTTTTTTTCCAGTGCACGCCCTGCGTCCAAAGTCCTTCTGCGTTTGTGTGCGCCTGATGTGGGTCATAAATGTTACTCCATTTTTATGGCCAACTTGCACACGACGATGGCGCTGAAGCAGAGCAGAGCAAAAAGCGAAAAGCAAAATGAAAGAGCTGCCAGCATAAGCAAATGGCAAGGATATGGCGGGAATAAACCAGAATAGACCAAAGTGAGAGAAAAGGCAGGGAAAAGGGACATTAAATGGCCAGCGTTCATAGAGAGGGCGAGGGCAGCTCCAAAATATTAAGCCAAACAAATACGTATAAATATTCATTAGGGTCCCCATTCAGATTTCGCTCTTTTCGGTCCCTTAGTCTTTACCAAATTTACCAAAAATTGGAATTAATGTTTTTAGCCGGCATTAAGAGTTTGTTGCGAATCAAAATCGGAAAAAGAAAAAATCCTTCGAAAGTTGAGGGAAAAGGACCAACTTCGATGAGATTAGCTGGCGAATAATGCAATCGCGTGACCTTGTTGCAGTTGCATTGGCAAGTTGCAAGTTGCTCGCTGCCCCAGCAAATGCAATTCTAGTTGCAGCTGCTGCTCGAGTGGCAATTAGCAGGGTGTCTCGGCGACATTTGCAGCGGTCGCCGGCTTACATAATGGTCGTCGTCATGTCAGCCTTTATGGCCCGCAACTGTTCCATTTGCGGTAGGCATCGCGTGACCTTGAGTGGGTGGGAGTGGGCCCTGGTGGGGGCACGGTGGGCGGCATGCAAATCCATTGAAAGCGCACGGCTGCAGTTCAAGGCTATTTTTACGTTACGCAAGCAACTGCAAACACAGATACAGATTTACACGAACATCCAGCGTGTATCTGTGTGTGTGTTTGCGTATCCTTGAGCGTCAGTTGGGCGCCGGGCATGTTGCATGTTGCGTTGTCGCCGTCCCGTTGACATTTTCCCCTATTTTCCATACCGTAACCAAAGTCCTGTTCCCTTTCTATACCTCTTAGTCATACGATTTGTATAAATGTATGAGCGCATATATATTTTATACGTTTTAGTTGGCTTATGCAATCGGTCGCAATCCTTTCACTTTCTTTTCGTCCTCGCTTACTTCTCTTTGTTTTGCCTAATTAGCTGAGCTTAGGTTATGCAACTGCAGCTAAAGCTTAGTTCTTCTTATATTTTAGCCAACTAAGCTGTTCTTAAAGGATTCGCCATTATTATTGACAGTAGGGGCTCAAATTACATTCACTGGAATGGCTTAATAACGTTAAGATTGTTGGAACTTAAACAAAAGGCAAACAAATATTTGTTTTAAGGTATTTAATCCTTTGAGCTTAATAAAAATGCAGTTATTTAATAAAAAATAAAATATCTCGAAAACCAATCTGTGAATGTCGTTTCGCAGCGGGTCTCCACTGTCTGCCACACGTATACGCAATATCCCGCTGATTTCAATATGTTGTTGGGGTTACATACGGTATTGTAACACCCACTCTCAGCTCGATTCCACCCCATGGAGCTTTCCCTTGCCTTTGCCTCAATGTCATTGCATATTTGAGAAGGTTTGTTTAATCGAAACGCGGACGACTACAAGAGTATATACATATGTACCAATATATTTATACCCTTGCAGAGGGTATTATGATTTCAGTCAGAAGTTTGCAACGCAGTGAAGGAGACGTTTCCGACCCCATAAAGTATATATATTCTTGATCAGCATCACAAGACGAGTCGATCTAGCCATGTCCGTCTGTCCGTCCGTCTGTCCTACTGACCGTCTGTCCGTCTGTCCGTCTGTCCGTCTGTCCGTCTGTCCGTCTGTCTGTTTCTACGCAAACTACTCCCTCAGTTTTTGAGCTATCGGCACGAAACTTTCGCAAAAGTCTTCTTTCTATTGCAGGTAGTATATATGTCGGAGCCGACCGGATCGGACAACTATATCTTATAGCTCCCATGGGAAGGATCGGAAGAAAAAAACTTTAAAAAATTCTAGCTTCGGTGTTTTTTGAAATATTACCTTCTACTTTTGGGGATGTTTTTTTTTAAATATTTCTGAATTTCGAATTAATTATTTAAAAAATCGGACTACTATATCATATAGCTGCCATAGGAACGATCGGAAAATTAATGGGAAATATTAGAAAATTGAACATTTTTGCGATTTGTTAATTAATAGGAATGATCTGCAAGGGTATATAAGCTTCGGCTGGCCGAAGCTAGCTTCCTTTCTTGTTTTTATATATGAAGGGGCGAAAGGCGCTGGAGGTGTGGCATGTGTGCGTGTTAACCTCTGACTGTCACTGGCCCTGAAATATGACATAAGTGCAGGAACAAGCTGTTACGCCTTATAACTGTAATCGCAATGGATCGCCATTGAAGACGCGCCCACAAACTAATCAGCTAAACAGAATGACAGTGCCTAGATATCGCATTATCCCAACAGCCATCTGTCTAGCCATAGCTTTTTATTCTATATTTTTGTATATATACGTAGCCTGTCTCATTAGGGGCGGTCTGGAGTTGAAGTAGCACTTAGCATTTGCTGCACGAAGGCTAAAAGGGATCGGGTCCCGCGGGCTTGTTAATTTCATTAAAAAGTTGTGCATCGAAAAACTTGCTAATTGACGCCACCACCAAGGCAAACATAAAAAGGACAACAACAAAAAAATGGTAACGAAAATGTATTTAATAGGTCAAAGCAAACAAACTAGCTAGTTATTAGTTGTTTGCCCTACAGATATTTACCAAAACTATCAGCTAAAGGGACGCAATTTTATAAACAAAGTCGCTTTGAGTGGAACAATTTATAATGCCTAGAGTAAGGACAAAATTACTCAACAAATAGAGGCATTTATTAATACTTAATGTGAATAGCACGCAACTCTCAATTGCCTGGGACTTAGTCAATATTTCAGCCCGAGTTAAGGTCATGAATTGAAGTTGAATGTAATTTGCGACTTGACCTGTGATTACCGCGGCTATAAATGCAAATCAACGGAACTGGGCAAACTGCACAAATGCCGCAATATAAACTTGGCCACGAAACAAATCGCGGAAAGGAACAGGACGACGAAGGCAACTAAAAACAATTTGCCGTAATCAAAACGAAATCAGCAAAGCGCAAGCCGCAGCGTCGCAGCGGAAAGTGGAACAGCTTTGACCGGAAAAGCCTGGGAAAATTCCAGAGGAAAATCGACCCTTTGATGCCCTGCCAGGAAGGGAGTTTGCTAAAATCTCGTTTAAAATCGTATACTTTACAATGAGAGAATAACAATCAACCATAAATGATAGATTTATTAGTGAAAGTGTCACAAAAATGAATTATGAAAATGGATGTAGATATGGGGGTTATAAATTACAATAAATAAATGGAAAATGAAAATTCAGGATGAGAGCGCAGAATTTTAACAGAAAAATGAAACAAACGGTAAAATGAAATAAAAAAAAAAATTACAAAAGGAGTCTTTTAAATAAAGGTTGTTATTTATATTTGATTTAATATAAATTCATATAAATAAGTGCTCTTACTTAAAAAACTTACAATATTAGTGATTTGCTTAAAAGTTGTATATTTGTTGGTAAGGAATCCAATCCGAATGGCAAAATAAGATTCCTAAACAAATAATATTTCTTTAAAAATATATCTAGCACAAATATTTACTTTTTCGAAGAAATAATGGAAGAAAGAAGAAATTTCTATATTAAAATTCCAAGTGCTTAGATTGCTTTGTTCTGGCTCTGTAAACTTAAGATATCGTCTATACTTACTTGCAATAAAAGAGGTTTTAAGATGCTGTCCACCTCCCAATTTGATTATATTACATTTGTGAAGTCCCCCATCCAGTTAGAGTAACCTTTTGCAAAAAGCACGAGAGCGGGTGGCACTGTTTTACGGCCAAAAAACAACAAAATCAACAGAGAGGCACGGTT